GGAACGGCAGAGGACCCTAGTTTGGAGCGTAATACGTGGCTATGGTGACCTCAAAGTCCACCAACTGCCCAACCAGTATGATATAACGACCCTCAGGATCCTTAATCTCAGTTTGTAACTTAAAAGGAGTTGTACGGTGGAGGGCGACTAAAACCCCTCTACACTTAGTGGCAGCAGAGGCCGCATAGACCTGTGGGTAACGAGGGCCAAAGAATTTGGGAATAGAGGTAGGAGTGAAGTGTGTTTCCTGAAGACAGACTATTTGCGCATTATGCGACGCAAATGAGCGGAATGCTTTGTTGCGCTTCTGCGGGACGTTAAGACCCTGAACATTCAGGGTGAGAATATTCAAGGTACCCATGGGTAGAGCAAACAATGGGTAAGCGGACAGTGAGGTACCATCACGAGGAATGTTATGTCAATTTGGCGCCGGGAGGGTATGCGGTTACTCGAGCTAAGCTTTAACGTGCAGTCGTATGCAAGAGCAAGGGTGGGGAAAAAAGCAAAAAGCCCGCAGAGCCCCGGCGCCGGTGGCCCCGGTCAACCTGGTCCGGCCCCAGAGAGGTCGGAGCCAAACCAACCGAAACGCCGGAACCGAAGGTCCGCCAGGCGAGGTAAAGGTGCAACAGCAGTCCAAACATGGCGAACATCAAACCAAACAATAGACCAATATGATTCCCAACCCGAGCAGCATGTATCCGGTGCAAAAAAAAACACAAAAAAAACAACTGAAGCACAACAGACCAGTATAAGGATACAAAGTTGCAAAGACGGCAGTCAGGTAGACAGTCAATTGACTAAACCCTGTGGGTGGCGACTGTGTGGGTGGTAACGGACCACCACATAAGGAGCAGGATTAAGGATCAAAGGTGGTCAACGGGATTCAGTCCATTGAATCTTGTGGTGAGGGAGCAGGAGAGGAAAAGCGTCCCCCTTTTCCCCTGTGTGTGTTTAGGTTAGGAATTCGTGGCGGCTGGGATTTCTGCGGTGAGCATGACGCCGAACGCCTTCTGGAGGTCTCAATCTGTGCAGCGGGAGGGTGCAGCTGGAGGTTTCGTAGCGCGTCCTGAAGCTCGTCAGTAGTCTTGCATACGTGGTCACGGGCTTGATGGCGGAAGCGTACCGCAAAGGGAAAGCACCATTTATATGGTATACTATGCTGTTGTAGCACTACCAAGTGCGGTTTCATAGCTCTGCGTTTGGTAATGGTAGTAGGGCAAAGGTCCTGAAACAGCTGGTAATGGTGACCTTGAAACAGGAGGGACTCCGAATTGCGGGCGGATTGTAGTAGTTGCTCCTTTGTGCGGAAAAAATGAAGTTTAGCTATGATGTCTCGCAGCGGGCCGTCAGTGCGCTTTGGAGCTAGTGCCCTGTGAACCCTATCCATCTCGAGGCGTTCTATTGGGATAGCGGGGGCGAGCTCTTGGAATAGCGCAGTAGCTGCAGATTGGACATCAATAATTGACTCGGGGAGGCCACGAATACGCATGTTGGAGCGTCTGGCCTAGTTCTCAAAGTCCTCTAAGCGTGCCTGAAGTATAGCGTTTTCGTCACGCAGCAGGTCTAGCTCATCCCCTTGCGTTTGGAGAGATGCATCAAAGTCGTCCACCCTCTGTTCTAGGTTCGCAGTGCGTTGCCCCAACTCACGGATTTCCCTGGACAGCTGGTTAGTTATGCGGTCTGAGGTCTGTTTCAGGGCCTTATGTAGCATTATTTCAAAGCGAGCTAGAATGTCAGGGGTAGTAAGGTCAGGCGTCAAGGCATGTTTGGGGGTCGCAGTGTCATCATCTGACTCACCCTCTGAAGAGCTTGGGCGGCTTGGCTGCTCCGTTTGCAGGACTGCAGGGTTGGATAAGGCTGGCTGGCTCTTGTGGTGCTCCGATGCGGCGGCCATCTTGGAGGAGGCACGAGCAAGGGCCTCCTTTATCGGCTTATGCGGCGGCGCCGCTTGATGTTTATTTGCCCCCCTGACCATATTGACAGATGGCCGGGGGGTTGCGCTGCCGATCGGTGCCGCTCGTGGAGCGGTGCGGGGCCGAAACATGCAGCGGTGAGGCTGTCTTCCCTGCAGCGTGGAGGAGCCTCAGGGAGACATGTCCTGTGCCGTCAGCCGCGCATGCGCACTCGTAATTTCTATTCATTTATTTTCTATTCTATTTTTTATTTTCTATTCTATTCTATTTTTTTAGTTTTATTCTATTATTATATATTCTATTCTTTTATTTTTCTATTATTTTATACTATTTTATTTTCTATTATATTATATTCTGTTTTACTCTCTTCTTTTCTTTTCTATTTCTATTCTATTCTATCATGTTATTTTATTTAATTTTTTTATTCTATTCTTTTCTCTTTTATTCCTTTATTTTTTATTCTTTTTTGTTCTATTCTATTCTTTTCTTTTCTATTCTATTACTTTCTTTACTATTCTATTTTATTCTAGTCTTGTTTTCAAATTTGATTTTGTATCAAATTCAAATTTATTCTCAAAGTCAATTCAAATTTGATTTGAATTCGATTAGAATTTTGGCTGAAATTTTGTTTTGACATTTCAATTTGTTACTACCTGTGTTTTCCCGAAAATAAGACACTGTCTTTTATTAATTTTAGGTTAAAAAAATGCACTAGGGCTTATTTTGGGTAGGTCTTATTTTTATCTCTCTCTCTGTCCTTTCACTCTGCCTTCTCTCTCTCTGCCCTCTCTCTCTCTCTCCCTCTCTCTCTCTCTCTCTCTCTCTCCCTCTATGCCCCCTCTCTCTCTGCCCTCTCTCTCTCTCCCTCTATGCCCCCTCTCTCTCTGCCCTCTCTCTCCCTCTCTGCTCTCTCTCTCTCTCTCTCTCTCTCTCTCCCTGCCCTCTCTCTCTGTGTGTCTCTCTCTCTGCCCTCTCTCTCTGCCTTTTGTTCTCTTCTCTCTCTCTCTCTGCCCTCTTTCTCCCCCCTCCTCCTACATGAAGCTGTAGTACTGTCACCAGGGTTGGGGGATTACACTGACCTGCTGCATACTCTGCCCGCCCCTCCAGCACTCCGTTTTCAACACCCATGGCAGGGATGTGGACCCGCCCCTCTGCTGAAATTTCGAGGAGGAGAGGTGTCTGCAGTGCCTGCCTCACTGTCCGTCCCCTCAATGCCTGCTTATTTCAGAAGTGGCACATACAGAGACGGACTGAGCCTCTCATGGGGCCCTGCAGTGACCCCGGGTCCTCGGGCAGTGCCGAATGGTCAGTTCTCCCCTGGTGGAGGTAGGTCTTATTTTCGGGGGAGGGCTTATATTAGCGGTACGTCAAAAAGTACCTCTAGGGCTTACTTTCAGGGTAGGTCTTATTTTCGGGGAAACACGGTATTGTAATTTGGAAACTTGGATACATCTGAATTTTCAAATAATGAAAAATGTGTCCGAATTTCTATTTGGAACAAAACAAACCGCACATGTCTAGTATAAGAATTTTAGTGAAATGCTGTCTTTGTGAAAGACAAAAGTGCAATATTCAGGTGAATATATTGAAGGTATTTAATAATGAAGAAACTTACTTGAAATTTTTTTCTAAATTCTTTTTCCTGTTTTTGATTTTTTTTCAGGTTTGTTTCATTCCTCCAATTAGTAATTAAAACATCCTGCTTCACTGGACTGCTTGAAAAGAAAAGAACATATTTTTTATTCATATAACACATGGGAAATAAACATGCCAATTGCAAATGCCTAGGTTTACATGGCCTAAAAAAACTAGTAGCCTTTGCTTTTATTATTGTGTTGTTAATTGCAAGCAAAAGTATGGTATTTTTCTATTTGTGTTTGAAAAGAAAGAAAAAGATTATATTTTAAAATTTTGTATCCCTACATATAAACGTTTTTAAAAGCCTTTTACTTATGTACAGTATATAAAAACTGCCATATTTTCTTGTTACATATACAGGCTTTGCTTTCTGCTTTTTAAAGCATTTTTGTTTTACTGCTCCTGCGCGTAAGACAACCAACAGACAATAGGCTTATTAAGACAATGCATTTCCTGTGTGACTGACATAAGGCGGTTATCAAAGGAGATGATCGTCTTCATTCAAAAAATAGTATGAATACTTGCTTCAATTAACCAGTCATGTGAAAAGCCAATTCCTGTTCAATGTAAATACCCAGTCATGCACAAAACTTTTTCACATGATGGGATAATCGAGGTGAATATTCAAATAATTTTTTGATTGAAGACTCTCAACTGCTTTTCTTTTAAAAAAAAAAACCTAAAAATGCAATATATAAATGTAAATCAACCACATGCATTTTTATGGAGTAAACTTCATGGTGGATGTTTGTCAAATCTGTTGCACAGCAAGACAATGTAAATACAGAAAAACTATCATGTGCCACACTAACTTTTAAATGAATAAATAAATTTCCTTTCCCTAAGATCAATAATTCAAAAATAAAAAATAAATGTATCATGCATATATCAAAATAGTAGTGCACAGTACTAAATTTGAAACGCCAGAATGAATCAGCAAAAGAGGCAAGTTAAAAAACAAATGCTCATATAGAAGAACTAGAACACACTTCAGAGTGCCCTTCATTCTAAAAAGGGCTCATCCTCTTTTTTTTTTATAAATTATTTTTGGCTACTCTATGAAAAAGTTTACACAGAAGAAAAACGTTCATTCAGTCAACAGCGGTAGTGCACTACATAAAGGAAAAATTGCAGAATACAAATAATATAGAGCAGGGGTATTGAATTAAAATTCAAGGAGGTCTGGTAACTAAAATCGTCTTATGGCCGAGGTCCGAAAATAAATGTCCCCATTAGTGTTCCCCCTTACATCAGGTTCCTCCTCCAGAGTAATTTATTACATTGGGTGCCACCATCCAACTTCCCCCATAAATCAGTTTCCAACGTCAGAGTACCCCCCTATATCAGGCGTTCCCATCAGAGGGCCCCCTTTAAGTAATGTGTTCCCATCAGAGTGCCCCCATACATCAGGCCTTTCCATCAAAATGCCCCCCTACTCAAGAATTCCCATCAGAGTGCCCCCTTACATCAGGTTTCTGCATCAGTAGGCCACCTTACATTTGGTGTCTCCCATCAGTGTGCTCCCTTACATCAGTTGTCCCCATTAGAGTGCCGCATTATATAAGGTTCCCCCATCACGGTGACACCTTACAAAGGGTATGCCCATCAGCATGCCCCCTTACATCACATCAGGTGTGCCCATCAGAGTGCTCCTTTACATCAGTTGTCCCCATCAGAGTGCCCCTTTATATCAGGTATCTCCATCACATTGCCACCTTACATCAGGTATTACCATCAGAGTTCCCCCTTACACTAAAAGTACCCCTTTCCATCATATTTCCCCATCACAGTGCCCATTTACATCATATTCCCCATCAGAATGCCCCTTTCCATCACATGTGCCCATCAGAGTGCCCCTTTCCACAGTATGTGCCCATATTTGCCCCTTTAACATAAAATGTGCCCATCATAGTGCCCCTTAACATAAAATAAGCAGTATGCTGATGGGCACATTTTATGTTAAGGGGCACTCTGATGGGCACATTTTATGCTAAGGGGCACTTTCATGAGCACATTTTATGTTAAAAGGGACTCTGATGGGCACATTTTATGCTAAGGGACACTTTGATGAGCACATCCTATGTTGCCCTTGAACATTAAATGTACCCATCAGCATTACTCTTTAACATTAAATGTGCCCATCATAGTGCCCCTTACTATAAATGTGCCGATCAAGGTCCTGCAGAAAGAACATACCCTACCTTGAGGGCAGACAGGAGCAGGAGGCAGGAGTTTGCCAGGATCCTTGCTGAAGAGGGCGGAGAGCACGCTTGTAGACAGGCAGGGAGTAGGACAGGGAGATACAGCAAGCTGCAAGGGACAGAGTGCATATGTGATGTTATCTCAGACAAATATGAATGACTACAGAGGAGTGAGCTACTTCAAGAAGTAGCTGCCTGGTGAGAAATTGTCCATCGCAGATCTGTAAAAAGGTGATGACAGATTTTACTGATTGGGAAAACGCATGTCACTGACAGAGAGGCTTAGGACCTTCTGCCAAAAGTTTTCTAGTGTCGCGCCAAAGATTTATGATACTTCTGTTTGGAAAGCATGGAAAGCATGGCAGGAAGCTGGGCTTTGGTACAAAGTTAGGTCCATAAGGTCCTGAATCAGGGCACAAATCTCCTGCCAGAAAGGACACATGACCAGACATGGACCGTGTACATGTCCAGAAGACATAAAGCAGTGTACTTGGGGAAGTCCCTCATCTTCAGTAATTCAGGCCAACATTTGGGAACATGTGGTGCAGTTTCACCGGACCCTATACCAGCTGGTTCAGAATTTATAAAAAAGATTCGATTCATGTAATCTCAAGGAGATACTGTAAGAACTTATGCGCAAAATGCAGGATAAACTGCTGTTCAGGAGTGAACTGTAGTGTTTGGTCCGTCTCTCAGTCTGAGATGAAGTTAGGAGTGTATCCACCCAGGAGAGCACAGATCATGGAATAGGAAAGTGAAAGACCATGTCAAAGGGATGGGGGGTATGCACAGCTGAGTTCAAAGAATGTGGGGTCAGAGAAGATGATCTGTCAGGGTTGAAGAAATGAGAGATAGTGTCTGACTTGAAGTGCCTGCCACATGGGTAGGGGGGATCCAACACTGTGGGTTTTTTTTTACTAAAGCTGGAGAATGCATATTCAGACTCACTTCTGCATATAAACCGATCAGCTTCCAGGTTTTATTGCCAAAGCTTAACTGAGCAAGCTGAGGTAAGAAGCTGATTGCTTTCTTTGCAGAAGCCTGACTGTGTCTGACTTTGCACTCTCCAGTTTTAGTAAATAAAGCACTGTATGTCAGGAACAGATTTCCAGGTTGTATTTTCACAGACGTTTTCAGGCAGAACTTGGGATCGTAAAGCCCGCGCGAGAAATCTAGGTTCCCTACAATAGGGAACATATACTATATTGCCAAAAGTATTGGGACGCCTGCCTTTACATGCACATGAACTTTAATGGCATCCCAGTCTTAGTCCGTAGGGTTCAATATTAAGTTGGCCCACCCTTTGCAGCTAGAACAGCTTCAACTCTTCTGGGAAGGCTGTCTATAAGATTTAGGAGTGAGTCTATGGGAATTTTTGACCATTCTTCCAGGGGTACATTTGTGAGGTCAGGCACTGATGTCGGACGAGAAGGCCTGGCTTACAGTCTCCACTCTAATTCATCCCAAAGGTGTTTTATTGGGTTGAGGTCAGAACTCTGTGCAGGCCAGTCAAGTTCCTCCACCCCAAACTCGCTCATCCATGTCTTTATGGACCTTGCTTTGTGCACTGGTGCTCAGTCATGTTAGAACAGGAAGGAGCCATCCCAAACTGTTCCCACAAAGTTGGGAGCATGAAATTGTCCAAAATGTCTTGGTATGCTGATGCCTTAAGAGTTCCCTTCACTGGAACTAAGGGGCCAAGCCCAGCCCCTGAAAAACAACCCCACACCATAATCCCCCCTTCACCAAACTTACACTTGGCACAATGCAGTCAGGCAAGTATCGTTCTCCTGGCAACCACCAAACCCAGACACGTCCATTGGATTGTCAGACAGAGAAGTGTGATTGGTCACTGCCATGAACAGGTCTCCACTGTTCTAGAGTCCAGTGGTGGCGTGCTGTACGCCACTGCATCTGACGCTTTGCATTGCACTCTGTGATGTAAGGCTTGGGTGCAGCTGCTTTGCCAGACAACAATGCATAGAGAGCTTCATGGAATGGATTTCCATGAAGCTCTCTATGCATTGTTGTGCTAATCTGAAGGCCACACGAAGTTTGGAGGTTTTTAGCTATTGACTCTGTAGAGTTGGCAACTTCTGCGCACTATGCGCTGACCCCATTCTCATTTTACGTGGCCTACCACATCCGGACTGAGGTGCTGTTGTTCCCAGTTGCTTCCACTTTGTTATAATACCACTAACAGTTGACCGTGGAATATTTAGTACCAAGGAAATTTCACAGATGGACCTATTGCACAGGTGGCAACCTACCACAGTACCACGCTTGAATTCACCTGTCATCACCTGTGGTAGTGAGCTCTTTTGATCCACAACTTGGGGTTCCCCAGGGCGCGGAGTCTAAGCCCCAGCCTGCTTGTTCACCAGGGCCCCTGATGATTGGGATGGATTTGCAGCAGGCTGGGACCAGGTCACGGCCCCCAGGTACACCCAGCTGATGTAGAGGATACCGCTAGCGGGAGCAGGGTACAACGGGAGAAGACACAGGGAATCCAGTAGGCAAGCCGAGGTCAGGACAGGCGGAAAACAAGCAAGGTCAGGAACGAAGCCGGGGTCTGTACACAGATAGACAATATAGGATTCACAGTAGAAACACAAGGGAGCTCCAACAACTAAGACGTTGCTCAGGCAAAGTGGGCTAGACTGAGCATGTCTTACATAGACAAGCAAACTAGGAGGCTGGCCAAGAAATGATGGAAGGGAAGGAAATAAAACCCAGAGGATAGCAGACGACGCCCACAGGTGAGCACAGACAAATACACATGTGAAGGAATCAGGAGCAGCAAGGAGGTAAGAATAAACAAACAAGAGGCTGCAAGCTAACTTGTGACCTCTTACGAGGTCTACCCACTTTTTTAGGACCAGGCTTAAGGGGAAACTTCTGATGAATAAATTCCACCAGACAGGGTGCAGAAACATCAGTAGAAAGAATCCAACACCTCTCCTCAAGACCATATCCCTTCCAGTCAATAAGATACAAGAGCTTCCCTCTGATGAATTTAGAATCCAAGATTTGCTTGACTTCATACTGATCCGAAGTACTCGCTACTGGGGAAGGATGATGATGAGGATGGGAAAACCTGTTGATGATATACGGTCTCATAAGAGAAACATGGAAAACATTAGGGATTCTCAGATGTGAAGGAAGGTGAAGTTTGAAAGCAACAGGATTGACCTGGCGGAGGATGGTAAACGGACCAATGAAATGAGGAGGAAATTTCATAGAGGGTACTCGTAGATGGATATTCTTGGTAGAGAGCCAAGTCTTGTCACCAGGGAGAAATTTGGGACTCAAGCGGCGATGGCGATCTGCAGCCGTTTTGTACTTGGAAGCTGCCAGATGTAAATTCTTGGAAACCTCTGCCCAGATGGAATTGAATGATCGTTGTTTATCTGCAGCCACAGGTACCGTAGAGGAGATAGGAACAGGAAATGGCACCAAAGGATGATGACCATACACCGTGAAAAAGGGGGACTCACCAGTACTGGCACTGGCTTAGTTATTAAGGGAAAACTCTGCCCATGGTAGAAGGTCTACCCAATCATCCTGATGGGCCGAAATGAAGGCACAAATATAGCATTCCACATTCTGGTTGACCCTTTCGGTTTGTCCATTGGACTGCAGATGAAAGGCTAAAGAGAAGTCCAACTCAACTCCGAAGGACGTGGCTAGAGCCCTCCAGAAGCAAGCTGTAAATTGAACACCTCTAGCAGAGACGATGTGTGAAGGCATACTGTGAAGACGGAAGATTTCCTTAATGAAGTTGGAGGCCAATTGTGATGGCCGAAGGATGTCCCGGAAGTGGAGTTAGGTGGCACATTTTAGAAAACCACCCAGATAACAGTGGAACCAGCTGAAGGGGGTAGTTCGGAAATAAAGTTCATGGAAATGCAACACCAAGGCTCATCTGGAACAGGCAGAGGTAAAAGGAGATCTGCTGGAGCAGACGTGGAGGACTTAGACTGCACACAAATGGAGCAAGCCTGGACATATTCTTCAACATCCTTCCGCAGTGAGGGCCACCAGTAATGACACTGCAGGAAGGCACAGGTGCGTTGTACCCCAAGATGTCCAGAAAGTTTAGAGTCGTGTGCCCATTTGAGTAGCTTGGGATGAAGGGCGGGGACCACAAAGGTCTTTTCGGGTGGGATGTGTTTAGGCTGACGATGAGTGGTGGCTAGGATACGATTGGCAGAAATGATAGGCTCCGGTTCAATATGACACTCAGAGTCAGCACTGGTAAATGATCTGGACAAGGCATTCGCATGGGCATTTTTGGAACCGGGCCGGAAGGTAATGTCGAATTAAATCTGGCAAACAAGAGAGCCCATCGTGCTTGTCTGGGGTTCAAACGCTGGGCAGACTGGAGATACTGGAGGTTCTTATGATCAGTATAAATCAGAATGCAATGTGGGGATCCCTCCAGCAGATGTCGCCATTCCTGTAGTGCCAGCTTTATTGCCATCAATTCCCGATCACTGATAGTGTAATTCTTTTCAGCATCTGAAAATTTCTTAGAGAAGAAGGCACAAGGACGGAGCTTACCATCATGCACTTGGAGCAGGACGGCCCCCACTCCCAAAGATGAAGCATCTACCTCCAAGAAAAAAGGCTGAAAAATGTTCGGACGTATGAGAATCGGTGCAGAGAAAAGGTGGATTTTAGTCTGTGGAATGCGTCGACTACCTCAGAAGGCCAGGTTCTG